TGTTTCAGATCTGACACTATATAAAGAGTGTTTTTTTTCCAGGTATAGAAGTTTAAGTTGGCCTTACTTTCCAAGATGGCGACCGATTTAACAGCTGTCAAGTGATTTATTCTCAGTTTAATTTGGCAATTCATCAAAACGATCATCAAGCAAGGCGTAGATTCGTCGAATGGGCCCAAAACGAGATTGCCGTTGTTTCCGATTTTCATAAGCGAATTTTGTTTAGCGATGAAGCGCACTTCTGGTTGAATGGCTACGTCAACAAACAAAACTGCAGCATTTGGAGTGAAGCTAATCCACAAGTGTATGTCGAAACACCGTTACATCCAGAAAAACTGACTGTTTGGTGCGCTTTATGGGCTGGTGGAATCCTTCTTCAAAAACGATGAAGGCCACAACGTTACAGTCAATGGTGATCGGTATAGAGCCGTGATTACTAACTTTTTCATTCCTGAATTGAACAATCATGATTTCCAGGAGCTGTGGTTCCAACAAGACGGCGCAACATGTCACACAGCTCGTGCCACAATCGATTTATTGAAAGACACGTTTGGTGACCGCCTAATTTAACGTTTTGGACCTGTGAATTGGCCTCCAAGATCTTGTGATTTAACACCGCTAGACTATTTTCTGTGGGGCTATGTAAAGTCATTGGTCTAGGCGGATAAGCCACAAACGCTTGACCATTTGGAAGACAACATTCGCCTTGTTATTTCCGATATACGGCCACAAATGTTGTAAAAAGTCATCGAAAATTGGACTACATCCGAACCAGCCGTGGCAGTCATATGCCAGAAATCATATTTAAAATGTAATGCCACAAGATTATCTTTCGAATAAAAAAAATTCATGTCAATCGAATAATACATCGTTGTTTTATTGCAATTTAAAGTTCTATACCTCTAAAAAAACACCCTTTATATGTATTCGTATCAAATACCAATTAGTCGCAGTATTGCTAAGAATTAAGTTTAAAGAAGAACATTTTACTAATAAAGTTCCCCAGAACAATCACCATACAAGAAAAGAAAAATAAATAAATTTACAGACTGGTTTATATATATATAAGCTTAAAAATGCTTCGTGTTAAACGAGTTTCATAAATTGCACAAGATTTATAATTTGATGAGATTCTGTAGCAAGATAACTAAATATGCTATCAGAAAGTTCATATATTTGACAGAAAGAATTCTTTCTATCTTTAAAATTAATCTCACGTAGTGAAGTTTGTGAATTTAAATATCTAGATCTAATTTAGTATTCAAGTTCCAGCTTTGGGGAGATAAGCTGAGTTTAGCATAATATTTCATTTAATCATTGTACTAGGTAGCCGAAGTGTTAATTTCAAAACTCTCGTATCATGAAATTAGCTGGCAGGAAAAGTGATATCCTACTTCCGCAGAGATGGATCGTCTATTGATTATGTAGAATGAACATGGAAAGTCTGATACTTCTGCTACAAGCTTATTGGTATGAATTCATGCTTTTGACTTAATGGTTTTTAGTTCTTTCTAAGTGAAATCGTAAGAAATTGGTTGCAAAAGGGTTTACATGTTTGTAAAGGGGTCAATACATGTTTGTAAAAGGGAAAATTTTAATCTCTGTCAGACCCTTCTAACACAAAAAAAAGCTGAAAAAAAATTTAATCGCCAAAAAGGAAATTTAACAAGCAATTAAGCCCTTAGAATACAGGGTGATTCATAAAGAGGTATAAAATTTCCAGATGCTGTAAAACAGAAACAGTTACAGACAGGCACCACCTCAGCGAACCGTAAATTAGAAATTAAAGAACTTAAAAAACAGGATGATTCATAAAGAAGTATACAATTTCGAGATGCTGCAAAACGGAAACCGTTACTGACAGGCACAACCTCAGCGAACCGTATAGTAGACATTAAAAAACTTAGAATACAGGGTGATTCATAAATAAGTATACAATTTCCAGATGCTGTAAAACCGAAACAGTTACGGACAGGTACCACCTCAGCGAACCGTAAAGTAAAGGGTGTTTTTTTGAGAGGTACAGAACTTTAAATTGCAATAAAACAACGATGTATTATTCGATTGACATGAATTTTTTTTATTCGAAAGATAATCTTGTGGCATTACATTTTAAATATGATTTCTGGCATAGGACTGCCACGGCTGGCTCGGATGTAGTCCAATCTGGATGTCCAATTTTCGATGACTTTTTCCAACATTTGTGGCTGTATATCGGCAATAACACGGCGAATGTTGTCTTCCAAATGGTCAAGCGTTTGTGGATTATCCGCATAGACCAATGACTTTACATAGCCCCACAAAAAATAGTCTAGCGGTGTTAAATCACAAGATCTTGGAGGCCAATTCACAGGTCCAAAACGTGAAATTAGGCGGTCACCAAACGTGTCTTTCAATAAATCGATTGTGGCACGAGCTGTGTGACATGTTGCGCCGTCTTGTTGGAACCACAGCTCTTGGACATCATGATTGTTCAATTCAGGAATGAAAAAGTTAGTAATCATGGCTCTATACCGATCACCATTGACTGTAACGTTGTGGCTTTCATCGTTTTTGAAGAAGGATTCCACCAGCCCATAAAGCGCACCAAACAGTCAGTTTTTCTGGATGTAACGGTGTTTCGACATACAATTGTGGATTAGCTTCACTCCAAATGCGGCAGTTTTGTTTGTTGACGTAGCCATTCAATCAGAAGTGCGCTTCATCACTGAACAAAATTCGCTTATGAAAATCGACCATTATTTTCGAAATAAAATTGCACAATTTGAAAGCGTTGTTCAGGCGTGAGTCTATTCATGATGAATTGCCAAACCAAACTGAGAATAAATCACTTGACAGCTGTTAAATCGGTCGCCATCTTGGAAAGTATTGCCAACTTAAACTTCTATACCTGAAAAAAAAAACACTCTGTAGATATTAAAGAACATTGAATACAAGGTGATTCATGAAGAAGTATACAATTTCCAGACGCTGTTAAAAGGGAACAGTCCCGGACAGGCACCATCTCAGCGAATCGTAAAGTAGATGTAGTCTTAACACTAGAACGTCCAGAATTTCGAATACCCTTAAGCGTCTACCTTGGTTGTTTCGACACCACCGTATAAAGTATGTAAAATAATATTAATGACTAAATAATTGCAAGATTTCGTCTTCGTCTCTCGATTGAGGCTCTAAATCACGAGATCCAATAGCTCTCGAGTTACTTAAGTGTTATCAGTAAAGTAAAATTAAATTAAGTTTCCCAAATTCCTTCATACAGAACTATGAAGGCTGCTTCACGCTTAACGTAAGTGAAACTCAAAGTTCTCCAGTGGTGTGGAGTGGAATTAAGGAAAATGTCATTTGAACTAAGGCATCATCTTTCATAATCACGAGTTTCATCGCAAACAGCCCCTGTATAGCTACTTGTGCAATAATAAGACACAGTACGACTCAGTGAGTAAGTCAGTACTAATGTCAGTCAGCCAGTCCTATTGTGAACTATAAGGACTCAGTTGGACACATAAGAATGTTTTGTAATATCTGTCTGTAATCTTCTGTTTGAGTGGAGATTTCTTCACAATCATGAAATTTACAGGAAATAAGGCAAATATGGCGGGACTGACGTGAGAATTTTCAAAGAATCACGTATTAAGTGGCTTGGTCATCTATACAAATATGCTGATACTTTTTCTGCCAAAAAGTAACTTTTTCGAAAATTGAAGAAACCAAATGTAGAATGCGACCACCTACACGATGGTTAGACGATGTTGACAAGGACCTCAAACTAATAGGAATCAACCAATGGAAGGTCATCATGACTGATAGGATCAACTGGAGAATGATCAGTGAGTCATCCTTGGCCTGCAAAAGGCTGTTGAGCTTATGAAGAAGAAGAGGAATCTGTTATTTTAGTTGCTTTGTTGATAGAATAGAGAACGTTGTAAATGTTTTTATGAGTTTTTATATAAATAAGCATTTATTTCTAATCATTTTGGCTTTGCAAATGGAAAATTTTTCTAAGTATGATGCTTTTTTTCTTTTGGTGACAAGCAGTTTGTAAGAAGTGTGTTGAAATATTTGACAGTAAATGCATAGTGTTTCCGCTTCCAAAATCCGTTTACAAGATAAATATTTATATGTTGGAGATATGGTGCTATTGATATAATTATTTACAAAAAAAATAAAAAGTTAGTTAGTTAAAAATTACACCTGAAAGATTTCTTTAAGACATGATTATTAGTTTTCTATCTTTGGAATTAAGAACCTATTCGTCGTCGATTTATTTTTATAGTGTATGTTACAGAAATGCATAGGTAACGAAATTTTGAATACAAACGGTTCTGAAAGCTTACTTATTTCAATATTTTTGAATAATAATTTAACACCTTAAAATTTATTTACTTTCTTTTTTATCAAGGATATAACGTGTTTTATCAGTAATACTGATAAAAATCAGAACGCTTAAGAAATCAGTGTTAAAATTGAACATGATTTAGTATTTCTAGAAAAAAAAATTACATTCAACCCAATAGTCATTTAATTATAAATGAAACCAAACGATTTTGAATCTATTTTATAGTTTTGTAGCATTTGAGTTATAATAGCTATGGATATACAAAAGCCATTCATCAAAAAAGCATAAAAAACTAAAACCATTTTTTAAGGAACATAATATTCTAGGAGTACCTACATTTGAATTCCTGTCCTAACCATGAAAGTTCAAAAATCTGAATTTATGATTAAAGGATGAGTTTAGGAATAAATAAGAAAAATATTATTCTTTAGTATATTCAGTCAAAAACAATCCAGTAAAACCATTTGCAGCATATTATATAAAAAGGGGAGGGCACGACTAAGGAAACTCATTTTAGGTCGAGACTTGGTGTAATAGTAGTACTCCTTTAGGGTGTTCACCCCTCAATGTAATTCCGCCGAATGGCCTGTCAATTCAGAGAAAATAGCCTTCTAAATTCATGCTTAGCTTTTATACAATTAAGTTTTAATGTCTACCAGGGATGGAATAGTACAGTTGGTAGGACGCCTGCTTGCTATGCAGGAGGTTTGGGGTCTAATCCCACAATGAACTTTTTTTTTCAATTCATTTTAATATTTTTTTTTAATTGAGTAAACTTATTTACGAAAAGTTTATTACTGTAAGTATATAAATATTTTTTATTAAATTTTATAAATATATTTTTATCAATAAATAATATTTATAACAAATATTAAATGATATTTTTCACAAAAATTTGTTACAAATAGTTTTATAATGTGAAATACAATATAGTATAAATAAAATATTATATATAATACACAAAATAATTTATAAAATATATTATTATTATTAAATTAATTATTTTATAATTAATATAATAAAAATAATATATGTCTTTTTTATATATTATTAATTTTAATTATTTTATATATAATTATATAAAATATTTAATAAGTACCTTTTTTTAAAAATTTATTTAACTTTAATAAATTTATTTAGATAATTTTAATAAATTTATTTAGATAATTTTAATAAATTTATTTAGATAATTTTAATAAATTTATTTAAATAATTTTAATAATAAATTCATAATAATTTTAATACTATAAATTAATAATCATTTTTAAAAAAATTAATAATAATTTCAATAATAAATTAATAATAATTTTAATAATAAATTAATAATAATTTTAATAATAAATTAATAATAAGTTTAATAATAAATTAATAATAATTTAATAATAAATTAATAATATATTAATAATAAATAAATTATTATTATAAATAGCTTTAATTAATAATAATTTTAAATAATTTTAATAATTTTAATAATAAGTAATTTTAATAATTTCAATAATAAATAATTTTAATAATTTCAATAATAAATAATTTTAATAATAAATAATTTTAATAATTTTAATAATAAATAGTTTTAATAATTTTAATAATAAATAGTTTTAATGATTTTAATAATAAATAATTTTATTAATAAATAATTTTAATAATAAATAATTTAAATAATAAATTAATTTAATTTCTTTTACTTAATAAAATGCAAAATAAATATATAAAATATCGTTTAATATCAAATAAACCTTTCATAAATAAATTTATTTACTTTTAAAAATAATTAAATGAAAAGAAGGTAAAAAGTAAATCGAGGAATCGAACCCTAACCTCGCGCATAGTATGCAGACGATATACCAATCAAGCTACGGAATCGTTGGATAAAATCAAAACTTAATTGTACAAAGCATGAATTTCGAAGGCTGTTTTCTCCAAATTGACTAGCCATTCGGCGGAATTACATTAAGGGTTGAACATTCTCTAAAGGAGTACTACTTTTACACCAAGTCTCGACCCCAAATGAATTTCCTTGGTTGTGCCCTACCCTTGTAAGGCAAGGGTGTACAACTCAAAGGCTAACTTGGGACAATCAAACAAGGTTTCCCTTTAGGTGGGCCGCAAAAAAATCCCTATTCATAGAAACGTAGGTTCAGTATTCACCTAATTGTAGTATACTCAAAAGAAATTTAAGCATTTTGTTTAATAATAACAAAAAACAAAAAGATTATAATTCAAAAATCTTTTAGAGAATTCTACCTATCAGATTTTTATTTGTGTCAGTTTGTTGTTTTATTACATATTATTGTGGACCGATATATTAGCTGGGCCGCAAAAGTGTTTGTTGTGGGCCGCGAGTTTGACCCACTTGATTTAATGTATCATAACTTTTGAAATGACCAATTTCGATCAAAATACATATTTTTCATCTTATTTTATTGACTAGAGCAATTTTGGCTTTACGATACATATATTATCTTGCGTTTCTACTTATAATATCTTGATTCTACATATATTATCTTTTTTTACATAGAAAGCTAGTTACGAAAAATAAGTTAGAACAATCGGATGTAGGTCTTTAATGTGCTTAAATTGGGCATTTAAATTGTTCAAAATCTATCAAGGCTTGTCTGATAACTCAAAATGTATTATAAATGTGTTTCCATGAAACTTTTTGAGCCTAATATTTTTATTATTTTATAGGGAATGTACTAAAATAGTTCTTATACAATGTATGAATATATTTTTAGTCATGGACTGCTATTTGAATAATGGCCTCACAAATATTTCACATTTCTTACAATATTTATTCGATCAGCTCTAAAATTTTTACGTTTTATTAAAATATTAAAATTTGAGTACATTCTCTAGATAAATGCATGTAATTTATTTTAGTATTTCTTTTACTTCTATGAGTATATTACTTTTCTCACTAAGTGCCTTATAGAACTTTTTAAAAATTGCCATAATTTCACTCATAAATTGTGATTTTTGTAGTTTAGATAATTTATTTTAAATATTGCTGAAGTAGTGATATATACATTGGCCTTAATCCCTAAAAAGTATTTGTAATGTTTTAGAGTGTGCTGTTTTTAAAACAGTTCTCTAAACGTGTACGGATACCTTAAGGTTCTAGAAAATTTTTAGGAACAAAAAAAATACACTTTTACTATTTTTTCTATGACTTTTTCCATTGTTGTTGTGAAGTGTTTTTTTTTCTAAATTCCATGTAATTCAATCATTACCCTGGTATAGTTTCATGATGCCACTCCCTCCTTCAATATGTCACAAAAATATTTAATCTTATTCCTATCAGTAGTTGCTGTTGAATCTCCAACCAAGTAAAGGGCCCACTTTAAAATAAATCATTTGACGTATCTGAAATACTTTACCAAATCCAACCAATCAAAATAAACGATACATTTATGCAAATACGCAAACATTAAACCCCTACGAATCCATACCTCAACTAAAACATCAATTTAAAATGCCACCACCTTGGTCTCGTAACGAATCGAAGGCATTACTCTTATTGGCATAAAATGCTAATTGGTCGCACACACAGCAACCTTTAGTATATTATGTAACCAATTGAAAATAAATTGCGCAATAAAAAAGGCACAGCGATCCATCAGTCTTAATACTGTGGCCCTTAAAACAGGAAACTACAATTCTTCCAAACAACGTATGGAGACGCTCTTAGACGCTGACTGCGGTCATAAAACAAAGAAAGATGTGTTGTATGTAGTAAGATAAAAAGAAAACGACCTCGTAGCACGATGTGCACGTGAACGGCATACGACATCTAGCCCACCAATTTCCGTGCACTAGAAAAAGTACTGCACGCAATAAAGCCCCATTAATGCTAGGCCTAGGCTTCCTACCATGAATAATTAAGATTTTATTTGTCCCTTTCTTGCAAACATGATGAGTGATTGGTCGGTTCGTGCCACGGTTGCTACACCCACTAGAACGGAATTGTGTTGAGCGCAATGGTAATTAATAAGCTAAAGTTACGTCTGGGTTCCAGGATGCTGGAAATAATTTCCATGTTGAGCAATCCATCAGTTTTCCAAGTAATTATGTAGATTGTTCAATCCATAATACGTGTCAGAAGCAAATTTAGACTCCTTTACACGAGAGGGTTATGGTGTTTTCATTGAAATTAAATGTAGTTGTATCGGAAGAAATTATTTTGTTCTTTCTCACTCGGAAATACCCTGGAGAGCTCATATTATTAAGACGTTGGGTACGCTTTTAGAGTTCTAATTGCTGGGCTCTGTTCAAGATAAATGTAGGTTTCTCGCAAAATATTGTTTAAGAGGCGGTAGTTTTTCATTTTGGTAGTGGCAATTTAAGCATAGTTAAAAAAAAAGCAAAATGTTTCAAAGAATGAAACCATTTTTATGTACTACAAAACAAACAACAAAAAAGAAACTTGGCAGATTTATGATGTTTTTTTATAACATAGTATCTGATGAGATGGAAAAATGTATTCATTATTACCATTATATTGAAATTAACCCTTTGTTGAACCATTTTTTCTAGAAATGTCATGTTAAAATAATTTTGGAGTTTTGATATTGATTAATAAAAATAAATTCATTTATCTTATTACATAAAATTAACTTGATTATTAAGATAAATCTTTTGGTGGAAAGCATATTTTTCACCGCCCACTGGGAACTATTCAAAGTAGGACATTTTATGTTTCGTATATTTTTTTTGCTATCGTATACATTATATTTATAAAATATAATTTGCCAATAATAAAGTATGCAAAAGAAATTATAAGTTACCGTAAAATCCGGCGCATAACGCGCACTTTCAACGCAAGCCAGGTATGAAAATGAGAGCTTTAAAAAAATGAGGTTTTTAGAGAAATATTAGATTTCTACACACATTGAAATACTTTTTATTTATAAGAAATAACATTCCTTATAACTTAAAGCGTTGCAGTTCTAAAAGTGTACTATTTCTTTCAAAAGCCTTGAATAAATGACTTCAAAAATTAAGATCATTTCGTACATTTCAGGCTCCTTTTCGTAAAAAAAAGGGGTGCGTGCTAAACGGCGATTGTGCCTAAAAATTAAAAATTGCAGTTTGAAAGTATAGGTGCGCGTTATACGCTGGAATTTACGGTAGATATATTTTGTTTTCAAAAATTTAAGATTTTATAATACAAATTACTTCCCATAAAACTTTAAAAAACGGAGATCATTGCATAGTGGAGCAATGCAATCTGTACTAACGTATCTTGTTTTCATCTCATGTACTTTAGTAGAGCACAAACGGCAATGTCTGTATGCTTTTTTTGTAAATTTCACATATGGTCACTAATTTAAAACAATCGTTCATTATCTGGAACAGTTTTCTTGCTTCTTAGGAAACTTACGGGTCGTCCTTTTCGCTTGTGACTTGAAAATCCAGAAATCAATTGTCGTGCTAGTCAAAGTGCTAGCAGCACAAATTATAGCTGGGAAAATAGCTTCTCATTGACATTTAAAATCTAATAAAGTTGATGGCAAATATACTTATACCATGTCCTTATGAAGGGTTACAGTTACAACACGTTGTAGCAGTTTCAAAACGTTTTAAAAAACTGTGACGGGGCTTTAACGAATCTTTCAACTAATCCTCTTGGGGAATCTTTGGGGCCATCAATTTAGTTATTTCACAGCCAACCCTCTCAAGAAGAAACCTTGATATTCAGAGGGAACAGAAAAGAAAGAAGAAGGAGGAAAGGA